TTAATATTTAGCCTTTTTTGGGGCATTACTCAATGCTAATGATTTAAGCCCTAAACCAAGGGCATATATTATCAAGACAGCAACAGGTCACCTTTGTCTCAGGGCTCTGCAACTGCCTGTGCTTAACTTTGAGATTAGCATCACAGTGCATGCTTCTTGCTGGGAATGCATGGGTCTGAAACCCATAGGGTCTTCCCCCTTTAAATGCTTTGTGCATACCAGCTATAGTAAAAGGGGGAGGGCGAGGAAACTTCCTACTCTTCATCACCCCCACATAGAACAGATACCTTTTAGAGAGTAAATGATATTAGGAGGAGAAATATGGCAAGCGAGAAAAGAGAGGGAGAAAAGGGGAGGTGGTCAGGGATGGGGGATGGGTGACAGAGAGGCTAGGTCCCAGCAGTGGAAAAGTACAGCACATTGCTGCATCCCCCACTCTCTGTTTCAGCCTGGTGTGATTGTAAAGGATAACTTAAAGAGAAAGCCCCTTCACTAGTGCCACCAACAGTATGCTATTTGTGTTCCATAGGTATTGTCATTTTGTGAGAATAATTTGGTCAGTTGAACACATTTTTGTGAAACTAAATCTGGAAATTGTCAGTACATGCACCCATGTTAGACACATTTAATTTATAAGCATTTAATAAAAATAAATAGAAACAGACCTCTACAAATCACCCACAATTCCCTGCCCAAGGTTTGACCCCAAGTCATTTAAGAAGCATTAGCATAGCACCATGGCCACCATCTTGGTGAGGAAATGCAGGAGAACATGCCTCAAATGTCTTACTCCAATAACACCACAAGAACTCGAGTTACTACATCGTTTGATACGTTGAAAGAGGGGAAGGAGAACCTTTTAGGGCAATAGCACAAAATTGAGCAACTTTAGGGTTGCTAGTTCACATTCTCAGTGCCTACCAACTGAAGTACCAAGAAGCTGAATTCAGACTCACAAATGCCTATTGTCATAAATTAGAGAATACTTTAGGTTCATAAATCAGCTCCTTCTCCTCTATGTGTGATGGAATGAGAATAACAATCCGATTACAAAGTCAAGTACAGCTATGAACGCAGCTCCATTTGTAGTGTGACGTATTATGGCTGACGTGCAACTTCGCCATTTTTTCAAAATGAGTACAGCTTTAAATGGTTGCACTTCCTGGTTCATGTTAGAGGAACGAAACCTAGGCTGACCCCAAGAAACAATGCAGCCTTTAATGGCTTGCCGGGGTTGATGCGTTCAAGTGTGTGTGTGTGTGTGTGTGTGTGTTGAAGGGTGGCATGATAGTTTTCTTTAAGCAAAAGAAGGAATGAAAGAAAGAGAGGGTGGAGGGGAGTTCAAGATAATGCACTGCTATCTTTTCCATCCCATCTGTAAAGCCCATCACCTATGCAACAATGTGTTTTTTTTTTGCAATGTATGAAGAAAAGAAACAGAATTACTTGAACCTACATTCAGTTACAGAAATAGCTATAAACAAAGCAGCAGCAAAGTGGTTACTACTGCTGCTCCAAGCAGATTGAACGGGCAACAGCATTATTACAGTATTATTATCACATATTCATTTTACCAATACTTTTTTTTCTGGTCTCTTGTTAAACATTTACACTATTGGACAATTTGCTGTGTTGTTTCATTCAGTCATTCCATCCAGCCCCCAGATTGGCACTGCGCTTTGCATTAGGGGAATGCAAGGTTATTCACTGTGCAGGTATACAGGTTCATTTTAAATCCAAGTTGCATTAATGTGGTCAATTTACATGACTAATTTGTCCAACTGCCAAAGTGAAGGGAAATCTATAAACATCCGAGGCATGTTCTGTCTCAGTCCCTCCTGTCCCCGTTACTACCTGTTCCACTGCTGTGTGCTATTGCACTCAAAAAAACTTTTATATACATATTATGCACACATTTACATATTTGCCTACTACGACTGTTATCTCACTGGATAAATACATGTTAATAGTATAGTTTAAAAGTAGTTACCTGCTATAAATAACTGAGCTTTGCTCCTTGGAACCTAAAATGTCAGCTAACTTTAGGTTCAAAATCCTAAAACTGGTCAAAACTGTGTGGCGAACGATGAGCTTACATCCAATCACCCAATAGCCTGAAGATCAAAGGCTAAGCGGCAGTGGTGGCTTGGTGGTTAAGGAAGCAGACTTGGGTCCCAAGCATAAAAATGTACTGATAAACAGTATAAAATAAATATGTAAATGTAAGCAGTGTTGATTGATTGATTGTTCAGGCAGAGGACATGGGACTGAGATGTGCCACTGTGTGAAATCTGCTGGGCATGCACTTTAAAGACCAGGGTGATAGGTTTGACAAATAAGTGAAGGCAACTTAGGGCCTTTGTGTTTTTTCCCCTAGTAAAGGAAGTTGAGGCCTTTGACATGCAGCAACCATCACAGTACATTGTTAGATTGTTGTTTCGAATGAGCACATGGTTTAACAATGGGGATGATCTATCATGGTCGGTCAGAGCTGTTGAAAGGGACATGTAAATATCATCCACTGTATACCTACATATACTACAGTACATATTAGTGATAAAAATACAATTTTTTGTGTGGTATCACATCTTTATCAATGTGTCTTGTTTCACCCAAATGCACCAGGTACAAAATATGAAATTTCCTGCAGTGTAACATTAAGTTATGGAACACCTACACTACCTTTAGTTTCTCTCTTCTCTCTCCATTTGTCGTTAACTTCACTCTCCTTCTCTCCACCCACACCTCTAACACTGAGCTACAGTGCTGCAATGCAAGATGCGACAACAAAACAAGTCAGTTATAAGAAAACTAATGCCAAAAAAGTAAATTGGTGTTGTTTCTTCTGTAATGTGTCAGACGAACAGCAGTGTCAGAGAGTGCAGGGGTAAGAGTGCTATAAACACAAGGAGGGAAGCGTCACTGCCTCCTGCTCCCAAAATAAAAACACAACAGAACTTGTATTTCCGTTGCATGAGTTTCTGAAAAATCCTGACCCTAGAAATTGTATCTGTCTGTAGAGGTGTGGTTCTTATGTGTGAGAGTATAGGCAGAGTGTGTGTGTGTGTGTGTGTGAGAGAGAGAGAGAGCATGAGGGAGCTTTTTCAGATTTCCTGGTTTTACGCTAACACAGTGGGAACATCATAATCTAGGGCATAAAAACATCAGAAGAGTCTGATTTACACCTGGGAGCAATAATGAAGGGCAAAAGTTTCCAAAAAAAAACAAACAACAACACAAATGAAAGAAAGTAAATGTAACAATGTACGGAATACAACCACTGAAAGTAAACAAAGTCTATGTATAGCGTTGCGTGACAAAATTTGTTTTTACCACTGTATGTTGAAATGATGTAACAAGAATTTCTCAGTAAATTTATGGGGTCCGTAAACCGTGAAGTTCCACAGCAGTAGTTTTATGTTGTATTGATAGATGTTCAATTGGAGGAAGTGCGTTGTTTGAACATGATTTAATTAAAAGTAATTAAGAGTATTTTCATTAATTTTATTTTTGTTATGCATTATGAGAACCACTGTAATGATATCAACACTATAGCTTCAGTTTCCTCAAAGAGGCCAACCAGTTGCCACTGCTCAGCTGTGCTACTGTCTTGCCACAGGCACACTTTACTCCTCTTCTCCCCTTTTTTTGTTTTTCTGTTTATGTTGTCTATGAAGCTTCTCAGTCACCCAGGTCATGGTCAAGGTTGAAGAGTTCTGTTAGGCATCTGGACGTGAAATTTTCTCAAAGAAGACGTTTCATCTCTCATCCAAGAGGCTTCTTCAGTTCTAACTGGTGATGGGGAGTACAGCAAATATATACTCTGGGTGTAACAAAGAAAAAAGCTACTTCACCCCTGGGTCGTAGGTAGGGTCTTGGGGTCAACTGGGGAAGTGTAAACAGTCGTTAGGAGTCTGATGGGTCGTTGCCATCCTCATCAGAATGGTTTCACGTCTCTCTGTTGTGAGAAACCGAGGAGAATCTTTTGGGCAGTGTTCCTATGAGGGTATGGTTCTGTTTATGTTGTTACAACCAAGCAGACACAGCTGGACAGCAGCACTCGCTCACATAAACAGAGCAAAATGGTTCAAATACATAATACATACAACATAACTAACATAACTATTTAAACACATGAAAAACCATGCTCCAGGAAACCAAGAAATATGGAAACAGAGCAGGGGTCAGCTAAACCCCTAACCCAGAGGTGGAGTTCATGGTCTATAAGTAGGGGAGACCGGGTATGGTTGTGACACTTTTTGCTTCAGGACCTATAACTCACTGAATTTTTGAGCTAGAGTTCTCAAACTTGTATACAAAGTACCCACATTTGTTTACTACAAATGGCATCGATTCAAACCTCTGCAAGAATATCACAATCCTCGTAAGTTGATGTCAAATGGAGTTCCTTTGTTACAACCTACCCCACTACCGGGGTAGGTTGTAACACATGCTGGGGTAAGTTGTAACAGACAAAAGAAGCAAAAACAGAGGTCACACCATGCGACATGCTGTAAAAACAGGCTGGGGGTCTGCTTCATAGAAAATGTGAACTAGTCAGGCCCTGCCATCTGCTTCTCATCCGATGTTTGTGGGTGTTTGATGTTATATATTACTGCCAGTTCATATGAAAAATTTCTAACCTAAAAGAAAGTGTAATAGAAAACCTGAATACATAGACAAAACGTTTTTCCATTTGTCTGGCACCTACGCTAGTATTCAATTCTTCTCTGGTCTCCAGTGACTAACCTGTCATATGTTTACCTCACGTGGAGTCAGTCCATAATACAGGTCTGCTGCCTCAGCCAACACTTCTTCTGCACCTCAGAGAAAACTTTGTTGCTGCTTCAGTAACCTATACTGGGAGGATCACTGGACCCCTGGTCTCTCAGCTTCTGCTCAGTGTTACATGACAGATTTCATGTGCCTTCGCAACTGTCTTTCTTGTCCACTGCCTAGGCATTCTGTAAAATGTATTAAAATTAATAAAGTGTTCTTAGTTGTATGTAAGGGAATGGTTGTAACACTTTTTAAAGATGTGTTACAACCCACCCCACCCCTGTCAGCCATTGTTTAGCTAGCTGTATTAGCATAGTGGTTTGAAATTAGCAGGGGAAAAATGCATCACATTTTGCCTGAGAAACTACAATTTAATCTAATGTAAGTCATATGGTTTTATGTACAATAGTATAAGTACTAAACAAAATATAGTCTTGGTCAAAATATTTACTTTCTTACATCAAAATCAGTTTTTTTCTCTATAAAATCTGCATGCCCCTGTTTCAAACCTTGACAACCACCATGTGGGATCGGGGAGGAAGTGGGTAAACACTGAAATGATCATATAACTCCTATCTTATCCCTAATTGGTGGAATTGGTGGTGTTACAACTCTCCCCATGTTACAACCATACCTGGTCTCCCCTACTGTATGTCATGCAAGACATGCGGGTATCATAGAGTTCCCAACCCAAATCTCATTTACCCCTACGTACTATGCATGTTTTGTTGTTGTTGTAAAGGTAAAAAAATTGATCAAACATAAGCAGACTGTCTGACTAAAGTTGAACTTTAATATATATGTAAATGCATAGTTACCTCTATGTCACTTGAGTCAAACTCATGAACTGCGGAATCCAAATTTGGGCCTGCCATGTCATCTTATGTCAGTCACTGGCGCTAAAGATGATTATGGCTGTCTTAAAATAAAATAAAAAATCTATAATATAGAGTCTATATTACAGTTTTCTGGATTGGTTAAATGCATGGCACGTAATTCACAATTGTTATTCTCAAATTTCAGTTCTAATCAAGCGTATGTTTTTACTATGAACTACATCTCCCATCTCCTTCACATCCTGGCAAGTTGAAATATTAACATTTAATCCCACAACTGGGGTAGTGGTGGCATAGTGGTTAGAATGAATTTAGAATGAAGGAATGAAGGAGTACAATATGTCAGAATTTTGACGACAAACATTGACACAATTGTGCAGAATTTAGCCTCCAAGAAAAACAGCATATGGTTCAAGAATGAAATAGCAAACTGCAGTTGAAGCAGGGAATGTTCACCAAAGCTACGGCCATAAACGAAAAACAGTGGCAGGTAAATCTAGCTTTATTGCATTTCGTTCAACAAATAATAATCCTTTTTTGATCTTAACTTAGACTGTGTTTTTAATTTTAAAATGGGTGATTGGGTTTGACACACCTAACCTCTGCAAGTGACTGACATAATTTTTAAGGTATAGCTGAAAAATATGGTTTTTTTTTAAATATAGCCATTGCGATAGCCAACAATTTGCATGTCCACTTTGTTCTTGTGCTTTGTCGTAGATATTTGCTTTTCAATGTTGATTTTCTCTTCCTTTTGGCTTTCTGCAGATGATACAGCTGACCAGCGTACCTGTCTTATCTGTGGAGATCGAGCTACAGGACTGCACTATGGCATCATTTCATGCGAGGGCTGTAAGGGCTTCTTTAAGCGCAGCATCTGTAACAAACGTGTGTACCGCTGCAGCCGTGACAAAAACTGTGAAATGTCACGCAAGCAGAGAAACCGCTGCCAGTATTGCCGCTTGCTAAAGTGTCTGCAAATGGGGATGAACCGCAAAGGTAACGTGCACTTGACATTGAGACTAAGTCTATTTCGTTGAAAACAGCCTCACGTCATGACCTCACTTCCAATACTGATGCAACTAAAGATTTAAATACTGAGTACATTCAAAAGTATGGCCTCTATGTTATTGTTTTGTTGCATAGTGCAATGTAGGTATCCTTAGTGTCTTGAACCTAATAGCACAAAACAATAGTCACAAAGTGAAAAGAATCAGTCAAATTATCTGAGCTCAATTTCTTGCTGTTCATTTTAGTATGAAACCACATTTCTTTATTAATTTTGAATGTATGACAGTTATTTAGACTTTTTAGTTGACTTAGTACATATATATATTACTTCTATACTACGGGTTGGTTAGTATGAGTACAAGCACTCATTTCTTAGCAAAGTTTATATTAATATTATTATTATTATTATTATTATTATTATTATTATTATTATTATTATTATTATTATTATTATTATTATTATTATTATTATTATTATTATTATTATTATTATTATTATTATTATTATTATTATTATTATTATTATTATTATTATTATTATTATTATTATTATTATTATTATTATTATTATTATTATTATTAAAGAGATTAGTGAAGAAGAGATGGGACAGTGACAGAACAGAAGAGAACAGACTGGAATACAAAGAGAGGACAAGGGAAGTAAAGAGGGAAGTGGCCAAGGCCAAACAAAAGGCATATGAGGAGTTGTACGAGAGTTTGGAAACAAAGGAAGGAGAAAAGGAGTTGTATAGATTGGCGA